CCCCCCCCCATTGGCAGCTTTTAAAAACTGGTAGGAGAAGACACCCACACCTTGGGAATTGACCGGATGGCAGTGGTGTTTTTAAACAAAATAACCGTGGTTATAATCCCAGTGGGAACGGGCTTATTTGGTTGAGTGAGTCCAGATTTGTGTGGGGTGGGTCTTACGCCTGTCAGCTTGGAGAGAGAAAATTGAGCTGATGGGGCCAGGAGGAAGGAGCCAGCGACGATGCCAGTCCCGTGAGCTCTTCACGGAACCAAGGGACAGACATTGAGAAGAGACGAGAACCTTCCCTCAGAGCAGGCTGAGAGAGAGAGAGAGAGACAGAGCTTCCCTGAGCTGGCCGGGCGCCCTGTGTCCTCACTTCTAGCCTCCCAAACTATGAGAAAATATGGACAAGTGGGCAGCCTGGGAATAGGAAAGTCTGTCTGGCCAGGATAGGCTGCAGGGGCGGACAGCCAGGGGTTACTGAGTCGCAAGAGGGGCTCACTCTCCCCCTAGCCACACCTTGCCACCCTGCTTTTCCTGCAGGTGGGTGACGGTCTGGCATCCCCTCCACTTCTCTCGACTCCCAGAAACCAGAGAAGGTGAGGGCCCTGCTTCCTACTGCTGCCTGCTGGCCTGAGAGGCCTGGCTCACAATACCCCCACCAGGTCCTCCTAGTTGGGGGGGGGGGGTAGTGAGCAGCACCCAGGTCACACCTCAGAGGCACCCTCAGGTGTGACAGACAAACAAATCTCCAGGCAATGTCCCCTGGGGACAAGGGTTAAAGGTTGTGCTCAGCAACCCCTACTCTCCACAGAAAACACAGCCCCGAAGTATACTCAGGCAATTCGGGGCTGTGGTTGGGGTGGGCTGCTTTGTCCTCAGTACCCATCTCTTCCAGCTGCTGTGGTGGAAACACCACAAGGGGTGGCTTTGTAGAACAGGAGTTTATTTTCTCATAGTTTAGGGATTATAGGTAGATCATTGTGATCGGTTCCCCCTCCCTCCCCACCTTCCCCTTCCCCTCCTGGAATGGCTACTGTTAATATTGGTCCTGAGGGGTTTATCTGTCCTGGATTCCCTGTGTTTCCAGCTCTTATCTGTACCCATGTACATGCACTGGTCTAGCTGGATTGGTAAGGTAGAATTGGGGTCATGATAATGGGGGAACATTAATGAACTAGAGGAAAGTTGTATGTTTCATCAGTGCTATACTGGCTTGTCTCCTCCCCTCGGCCCTTCTGTAAGGGGATGTCCAGTTGCCTACAGATTGGCTTTGGGTGTCCACTCCACGCTCCCCCTCATTCACAATGATATGATATTTTGTTTGAGGTCTTTGATGCCTGATACCTGATCCCTTCGACACTTCACGATCACACAGGCTGGTGCACTTCTGTCATGTGGGCTTTGTTGCTTCTCAGCTAGATGGCCACCTGTTTATCTTCAAGACCTTAAGACCCTAGTTCTGGGTTTTTCAAATGATGGATACGCTCACCTTTCTTTTCTTTAAAAAAAAAAACTTAAAGAGGGAAAAAAATATTATTTTTATTTATTATTATTTTTATAGTTTAAGAGGTTTAGTGTGTCCAAACCCTGACTCAGCGCTGAGGGCCATTCCAGACCCTGTGGAGTGCGGGGTGTGGACCGAAACATTTATTTTAAAGGGTAAAAAAATTCCAAAATTATTTGCAAAAATAACTCTGCATTTTTGTGATTACATTATTGGAAGGGTGGAATGAACATTGAAATGTCGCTTAGTTTGTAGCTGCACACCAACTTATTTCAGGAAAGGACCAATCATTGGTTACTTCTGAGTGCCATCGTTCAAGGTTTCCCTTCGGACTCTATCCCACACGCCAGAGGCGCCTCTCGTCCACACTGGGCAGATTCTTGGTTTCAGCCACCTCAGCGGACGCGCAACCAGCACAATACCGTGACCCGGCGCACGGAGCAGTGGAATATTCCATGCGGTTGATTTCTGTATCTCTCGTATACGTCTCCTCATCAATTTCCACAGTAGTCACCGTTTCTTCCACGTCTCCCAGTAACACGTTTACATGCAGATCAAAGCTCTCGATCCCTTTGCATGTTCGTCACATACATGCGTTCATCCAGAGGCAGGGTCTCCGCTGCCTTGGTGGTTGCAGGTCCCCAAGGTCCGCCGTTTCCCATTGCTATCCACACCTTTCGCGGGTGGGCTTCTGCGGAGCACGTGAGCGCACAGGGGCCCCAGCATGTCTCGTCCGTCTGTCCCTGCAGATGCCTGCTCGGTGCCGGTCTCCGAGATCATCGCCGTCGAGGAAGTGGACGTGAACAGCAAGCACGGCCTGGGTGGGAAGTGGCAGAAGATGGAGAAGCCCCACGCTTTCACAGGTAACCGGCCCTCCGCGCCCCTTTCCGCAGCCCTTCCTCGCCCCACGCAGGAGAGGGAACCCCACCTGCAGGCGTTGTGGAACCGTCGCAGGGTCGGCTTTCCCCAGGTCTGCTCTTTCCGAACATTTCGGTTGTTGACCCTCCTTCTCTGCCTTCTTAAATGAGAAGGAGGAACTTTTCTTTCCGACACGTCTTGAGAGTGGCGAGTTGGGGCACAGAAGGCCACCTGGAGGCACCTGGTTTGGGCAGGAGAATGAAGCGCGGGGTGGGCGGGGGGGCAGCGGGGGTCCTGCACCTGCTGGGCGCTCACCGTGCGTGCTTCTGCTTCTGTTTCTGCCCAGTGCACTGCGTGAAGCGAGCGCGGCGTCACCGCTGGAAGAAGGCGCAGGTGACGTTCTGGTGCACGGATGAGCCGCTGTGCAGCCTGTGGCTGCAGACCCTCCGCGAGCTGCTGGCCAAGCTGAGTACGTATGCGCGTGCGCGGGCGGGCCTGGGGGTTGCGGGGGTGGGTTGGGGGGGCGCCTCTGCTCAGAAGACTATTCTTCCGAACGAGGGTCGGTGGGATCCGCAAAGCCCTCTGCCCTCGAGTCTGTAGCTCTTTCTGGGGTCAGACAGCCTCATCTTCCTCCAGAGGGGCAGCTGTGCTCACCGCAAAGTCTGCAGTTCGAAACCGCCAGCCGCTGCTGGGGAGGAAGGCGAGGCTTTCTACTCCTGAGAGGAGTCACCCTCTCGGAAACCCACAGGAGCAGTTCCGCCCCGCCCTATAAAGCTGCCAGGAGTCGGCTAGGAGTCAGTGGCAGCGTTGGCTGGTTGGTTTTAGCTCCCATTTTAGTAATGGGATACTTAACCCACTGCACCACCAGGTCGCCTTGTGGGGGTGCCATCGAGCCTTTCCAACGCCCAGGTACCAGGGCCCCCGGGGCCCCCGTGTACAACAGGACAGACCACAGCCTCTGTTCTGTCTGAGCCAGGGTTGCAGCCGCTGGGTTCTTGGGATGGTGCAAGCCATTAACACGCTCAGCCGCTAACCAACAGATTGGAGGTTGTGTGTCCAGGCAAGGTGCTGCAGAAGAAAGTCCTGGTGATCCGTTTCTGATATAAACCAGACCCCATGGAGTGTGTCCTCCTTTGATGTGGGTGTGTGTGTGTGCGCAAGCACACACACATACACACACAGGGTTGCTGTGAGCAGTAAACACCATGGTAACCACTTTGTGTTGATGTTTGTTTGCTTGTGCGGTGGGCAGGCCATGGGTGCCCAGGGTCAGGACACCTTGTGGCCTGGGAGGCTCTGGGAAGTTGGCTTAACCTTCTGAAGCTCCGTTTCTGAGCCTGGAACGAGGGGATCATAATACCTACCTACTTTAATAATACCTACCTTAAACTGGTACGCTGGGGCTAGGGGGTTAGAGTAGGGGGGCTCACCTTTGTACAGCTGAGGCGTGTCTATAGGTCTGAGATGAAAGGATCAGTTACCAATTTCCACGAGCCTACCCACCACATTTGGGGACACCAAACCCTGAACTCACTGCCATGTGGGTTTCTGAAGCTGTACATCTTTACCAGAGTAGACAGCCTCATCTTTCTCCCGCGGAGCGGCTGGTGGTTTCGAATTGCTGATCTTGCCGTCAGCAGCCAGACGCGTCACCACGTCACCCTTTGGAAATGTGTCAGGTGCAAATTCATCTCATCTCCGTCTGGTGCAGACCTCACCTGAGAATAGAAAGGGCGGGTGTTTTAGGTTGGTTTTGTATATTTCTGGATTCGTTTGGCATGTGGGTCAAGAAGTTAAATGACGATTCTTTGAGGCATTGCCTTCTAAGGAGGCCATGTCATGCCCTTGCAGAGGGACGTCCTTGTTGAAGAAACCCGTCTTCCGCTGATCATCGGGGCAGCAGGACGTGTGTGGTCTCTGTGTCCCGTGGGAGGCAAGCCGTGCATGCCTGCAAGCCTGTGTGGATGCCTGACTCTCGGCATTTCTGTAACCCTTCCTGAGGAGCCCTGGTGGCGTCGTGGGCTGCACACAGAGCTGCTAGCTACAAGCTTGGCGGTTCGAGTCTACCAGACTCCCTCCATGGGAGACAGACAAGGCTGTCTGCTCCCATCAAGATGTGTAGTCCCACAAACCCACTCGGGCAGTTGTCTGCCCTGCAGGGTCACTGGCAGTCGGAATCGACTTGCTGGCAGTGAGTGGACATGTCAACACCAGTGAGGAAGTTGCCTTTGGTTTCTTCTGCCTTGTCTCCCTTTGTCTCTGGGCGCCTCCTCCTTGCCCACACCCTCCCCCCTTCCCTCCCATCCCTCCCTGTTTATTTCCATGTGCCTTGGAGTCTTGGTTCATTCAAGGCTGGTCCTCTAGGTGGGGACTCCCAAGAGAACAGCCGGTGAACGGTCTTCCCCTTGGGTAATCAGGAGGCCTTGTTTTCCTTGACAGTGTGTGGGGCCCACACACAGCCCTGCATTTGCCAGAGTCTGGAATGAGCCGTGAGGAGCCCTGGTGGTGTGGTGGTTATACATTGGGTTAGAAACCTCCGGGTCAGTGGTTCCAATCCACCTGAGGCCTTTTACTCCCAAATAGAGGTGCAGCCTTGGAAACTCCCCAGGCCCCATGACTCAGAATTGCCTTGACGGCAATGAGTTTGATTGGAAGGTTTGGGGGGGATTTGGGGGGAATGGTGCATGGTAATTAGCAGCTGCTGAATCAGCTTCAGTTCACGATGCTATCCGTGTACAGCAGCATGAAATGCCACCTGGCCCGGTGCCATCTGCACCATCGGTGTATTTTGAGTCCCGGCCCGTCCGGGGGACTCACCCTCTAGCACTGTATAAGCCCATCTGCTGTGGTGATGCAGGGCCGTCGTGCCGGTTTGGGGAAGTCAGTCAGCGGGACTTTCTTCTGCGTCTTCACCTGGAAGCTCTATTGGATCCTGTCCCCCATGGGTGGCCCTGCTGATATCTGCAGGCCCAGTGGCTTAGCTTCCAGCCTCACGGCAGTATACAAGCCACCACCACAGTACAGGCAGCGGGCAGATGGGTCTGGTGACGTCACCCATCCATCTCTGAGTTACGGGATTCTGTGACTTCCCATGGGAGAAAGATGGGGCTTTCTACTCTTGTCAGGGGCTACCATCTGGGAAATCCACAGGAACTGTTCTACCCTTTCCTATACGGTCACTGTGAGTGGACATTGTGTCGATGGCGGGTAGTTTGTTTTGAGGGGTTGTTGTTGTTGCTGTTGGCTTGTTTGTTTGGTGAGTTCAGCTAGTCTGCACGCCCAGTCCCTCACCCTGCTGTCGTAGTGAAGTGTAACGTCATCTCATGGACTTTGGACATGTTGTCAGCAGAGACCGGTCCCTGGAGAAGGGCATCATGCTTGGTCAAGTAGAAAGGCAGCCCCAAAGAGGAAGGCCCTGGATGAGCCGGCTGGACACCGTGGCTGCATCTAGGGCCGGGCTGTGCTTTGCTCTGCTGTCCTGGTGTCGCCGTGAGTCAGAACCGTGCTGGGTGGGGTTGTCTGGAGAAAGAAACAAGAAGGCCCACTCTCCCAAGAAGTAGCTTTACCTCAGAAAGGTGGCCCAGCCCAGTCCCACTCAAGTCTGCTTCCCATGCAGACAGAGATCCTCTTCAGACTCACGGAGCTGCAGGCCGGTGATGCAGAAAGGTGAGGCAGGAACAGGCCGGTGGGTGCAGAGTCTCGTGGATCCGAAGTTGGTAGAAGCATGACAGGGCGCCGACAGCTCTCGGGATCAGGCAGGCCACGTGGGGCTGCCCCTGGAGGCAGGCGGAGTTCCAACTCGCAGGAAAGCAAAGGGGCAGGGAGAGAATTTCCTGTGTCTCTCACTCTTACACAGAAAGGCCGATGGCACCAAGGAGGTGTCCGTCATCCGGCTTTGGACCAGTCAGTAGGTTGGGCCCCACCCAGACCTTGACTCAGGAGGGTCCAGTTGACTAATCCCTCACCAGCACAGGCCTCTAAGGGCAACAACATAGATGCAGAAAGGAGCTTGATGTAGCCGGGACACAGCTCCATGGTCATTCCCTCAGTGAGCACGTCTGCGTCACTAGCACCCAGACCAAGACACCGAACACGGCAGCCCCCCTTCTGCGTCCGCCAGTCACCACCCAGCCCACACAGGGGCCTCCCACCCTCACTTCTAACAGCGAGAGCTGAGTCTGTAATCTGCACAGGTAGCATTCTTTCACGTCCCGCTTTCCCGGGTCAGCATTCTGTTGGTGAGATTGGCCCAGGTGCAGACCAAAGCTGTGCCTGGTGCAGGCTGCTCCTGGTCACAGCTGTGCAGGGTCCCATGCTCCCTTGTGTGCCCGTACGAGTGTGCATTCGTCCATCTCACCGTGGATGGTCACCTCAATACCGGAGCTTTCTGATGGGCCCGCGTATGAACCGTCCTACTGGGAAGGTTCTGGTCGTGTGAGCTTGGGCAGCACTTCTCGTGGGCGTACACCTCAGAATGGGCAGAGGGTGCCTGTGCTCAGCTTAAGTGGACATGGCCCAGTGGGTTTACCCACCAGCAGGTGGTCAGAGTGCTGGTTGCTTCACAGGGAAACCATTCCCTCTGAACCGCAGCCCTTTCTGGGGGGTGTTTAAATGTGGGTGTCCCTCCTGACTGACGTGGGTGAGAAGGGTGAGGAAGGCGCCCCGTGTTCCGTGAGGTGTCTGCTCAAGGATCTCACCCATTTTTTCTGCTGGGCTCTCATTTCCCTTCAGGCTCTCACCCATTTTTTCTGCTGGGCTCTCCTTTCCCTTCGTGGTCGGTAGGGACTCTGCGTGCTGTGGATCTGAATCTAATGAGGGATTTATGAAGGACAGGCATCATCCGTCCTCCCACGGCTTGCCTTTCCCTGTTCTTCAGGGCAACCTTGCACGAAGGGTTCTCCGTTTTCAGATAGGCCCATTCTTCTGAGCCGGTGATTTTGTCTCTGTTGAGACGTTGACGGTCAGGCTGTGCCCTGGCAAAAACCTCTTTAGCTCCCTGTCTTCCTGTGTTTTGGCTCAGGGCTTCTTGTGATTCGACTTTCACCTTTGGAGCTAGAAGCCATTTGGGATTGGTTTTTGTGCAGGGTGGTGAGAGACATGAAAGGGTTAAGGCTCGTTTTCTAGAAATTCAGATCGCCAATCGACCCAGCACCACTTAGCAAGAAGGCTGTACATTCGTCCACTAGACTCCGACATCATTATTTTGCTATTTTATTTACTGCGTGTACATTTTAGGGAGAAAGGAGGCTTTCTACTTCCATAAAGGGTGAATCTTGGAAACCCACTGAGGCAGTTCTATCCTGTCGTATGGCAGTGAGTTTGATTTGGTTTGTGTGTGTGTGTATTTAACAATCTGAGTTTCGTACATTTACCTTGTTTCCATTGACCTTGCAAAGTGCGCTGACGATGCTAATGTTCTGGTGGTCCCTCCCTCCAGGTTTCCCACCAGCACAGTGAATAAGGACACCCCTGCCCTCCCATCCCAGGGTTTAGGTCTGCTCCTCCCACGGCAGGCGAGGACAGACTCCTTCTTCTCCACACTGTCCTGGGGGGATGTTATCCGTATTTCACATTCGGAATGCTGCTGGGTCATTTTGATCATGTTACGGAACTCCCCCTTGTGCCCATCATGAGCAGGGGTGGGGGCGGCGGTGGGGTTGAATGTGATCAGTGTTTTAACTGCCTCCATTCAGGCGTTTGAAGGACTGTCCTTGTCCTGGGGTAATGCGATGATGAGATTTCTCTCTCCTCGGTAAGGCTCTTTGCAATCCTGGGGTTCTTGAGCCCCACTTGGTGGTGATGTGTTACCCCTTGTAGTTGTTTTGGGATTTGGCTTCCTGATCTTCTCCTTAGATTCTGCTGCCCCTCAGGGCTGTCTGCTTCCTTTCCGATCACGCCCCGTGCTGGCTCTGTGGCCATGGGGAAGTTGCGGCCTCAGAGTAGCAGTTGAGAAGCAGGCTGTTCCTCTTCCCTGTTGTCCGGAGGAGCCTGAGTGAACTGGGGTTGTTGTCTCTCCGTGGTGGTGCTCTCTGCGGGGAGGTCTTCTCTGCCAGCTCCCCGTTTCTCAATTGGAGAGCTGGGTTCCACTCTGGAGATGACTTTTTGAGAGCCGGACCTGCTGCACCCACACTTACAAACTTACCGGCATTGATTTATGAATTTTAAAAAGCAGCAAAACGGAACAGGAAGCCCACTGCCGCCTCGCCGATTCTGAATCATCTCGGATGCATGTAGGGTTTCTGAGTCTGACGCTCTTCATGGGCGCAGACAGCCTCATTGTTCTCCCTCTGAGCCGCTGGTGGGTTTGAACCGCTCACCTCACGGTTGGACTCGTGCCTAACTCATAGCGCCCCTACCCTCAGGGCCCCTTAAGTGATCAGTACATCCCCTTACGTTCTGTGAAAGGTTGCTCCTTCCCTCTGGGAGGCACGCTGCTTTCTGATCTAGCTGTTGGTTGTTGATCTCTTCTCCCCGCTGTCTCCCTTTTGGGGGGTTGCTTTTATGAGAGATTTATACACCCCGTCTCCACCCCAAAGAACCGGCTTTCATCTTTCGCGATGTGTGTCTCCAGAGCCAGAGGGTTACTGAGAGCGCCGTCCCTGAGGGAGCACGGCCCCGCTGCCCCATTCTATACCTGCTCCCCCTTGGCTAACTTCCTTCGTCCATGTCCGTTCATCTGTCCTAGACCTCCGTCCTCCATGCCCCATCCTTGCCCTTTGAGTTAGTTAATTGTGCCAGCCTGGCCGATAATCACATGTGG